TGCCTGGTAGGAACATTTAACATGAGGGATGACACAAGAAATACAATTTGAGTTTATCAAACACTTTCTCAATCGGGGACTATATTGGACACATTACATTTATTAGCTATTTAATCTTTATGATATCAAGTTAGACAGTGCTATTGATCACTCTGAGTCTAAGCTCACAAGAGGGAATTGTCAAGAAGTATGAGCATTATCATTCAAAATACTGGAATAAATTCATGATAGTTAGCATCTTTTAAGCATATCTTATTTTTTTGAAATTCCATTCTACATAAAATTTTCACATCATTACCACACAATCTGGGTAATACAATATTTTGTTTTTAAAAGCTGAAATAATCAGGCATGGATTAGAAGGGAGACTTGCCCACATTTCATAAGAATATAGAAGATTTGGATTTCAATAAAAGCATTGTGAATGTAAATTTCATTCATAAAATTACAATTTTTGTACTTTGTAAAACACATTTTATCAGAGTGAAATTTTCTTTCCAAATTCTCTCTCTATAATCCATAACCCTTTCAATCATTACATTCCTAAAATTAAAGCTGAAGCATGTTTTATTTGTCTTTATTGAGAGGCTTGTAAAGCATTATTAATATGTATTGTTCACAATTTGTATAGTGCTCATTCTTAAACACGCTAGTCCACAGAAGTGTCATGAGGTTGTTACTCTGTTTACAAGTATGATTGCTGGTAATATGAATCTATTCATTGAGCTATATAGCTTAAGATNCTGTATGTATAGTATGCTGCAATACAATGGTTGTTAAATTTTTTAAAACCATACTTAAGGAAAAATATCACCTATGAAGAGTTCCTCTTTAAACTATAGTGGGCTGTTTCGTTTTGTGCTGAGCAGTCCAGCAGCATTGCCTCCCTGGAGATATTGAATCCTCACTTTTGCAGTCCTTTTGCTGTTTCCAGTGTCCAGACATTTGTAATCACTGAGCAGTCTCTTGACTTTTTGAGCAACAGATATATCCAAGGCTTGACCTTTTTGTAACCAGAAGGTCATGCTAAATTATCCGTGTGCTCTTTACCTCTTACTGGAACACTGTATTGATCCTTCTGTATTTTCAGGTTAAAAGACTGATGTAACTCCGAATAGTTAGAGGCCACGTAAACAGCTTCACAAATGCATTTCTGAGCCTTTCACAGTTGGGTTTTTTATTTTAATTTTTCTCCTCTTTGTTTATCCCACCTATTAATATTTTTAACATTGTCTGGGCTTCCATGATTCTTAGTTCTTTACTTACAGTACTGTAGAAGGGTTGTTATTTTATGATCACTTCATCTTGCTACTTGGGTTAGCAAAGAAGAAGTCAATAACCGCATGGGTGAATCTGCTGAGTAATGGCAAAAGTTCACTGAGTTCATTTAATAAAGGAAGCATTAGTCATGAAAGGGACTGAAGACAGAGAGCCACAGAGTCATGTGGCACAAAAAGGATGTGACACTTTTTTTTTTTTTACAAAATCATTTTCTGCACTTGAAAGAAAGCCATTAACAATGGGATTTTAGGAAAATAGGATGCTTTCATTACCCTAAATGTCACCTGTGGGGAAAAAAAAAGATGTTATAGATATCAAAGAGGAAATGGGATAGAAACAAACTGAGATTTAATTAAAATAGCCAAAGAAGCAACAGAGCAAGGGCGTGAATCTTCTAAGAGCTTCCCAATCCACCATTCATTTCATCATTCTCAGTGATTTATGTTCACAATTACAGTTCTCCTTCCTTACTATGCTTCTAGGGGCTATAGTTATACTCTTATACTATTATCTACTATTATAGGGGTTGTACTCATACATTGCAAATGAGCTCAACATTTTCTACGTGATTCAATAGCATGCTAAAATTTCACATGTACCTAGTACTTAGCACTAGCGCTAATAGAATAAAGGTTAAAATCAACCCATATTTATTAAATATGAATTAGTTGCCCACAAAATGCAATACCTATAGAATACAACATTTTTTTCATTTAAACTTCACAAGTGTGCTTTGAGCTGTTATTATATCAATTTCCTTTTTACAAATAAGTTCAAAGGTTTACTTGCTTTACTAGGATACCATAGCTAGTGAACAGGGCACCTGAGTGCCAAAGTTAGCTTCTGCTGCCTTTGTAACCTGTGATCCTTTGCAGTATAGTATCTATAATTCTGTCTAACAAGAAGGTGAGAGTAGTTAAAACCAAGTGCAGGATGCAGGAGTAATGAGATTGTTTTTTCTCTCTGTGGGGTAGTCATATTACATGTAGACTAAGCATCTGAAGCTCTGTGACATTTCGTTGAGAACTGCTTTCGTAGATGGGAATTTTACTCGAAAGTGCTTTGATATTTGCTTTTACATTAAAGCAAACATACATTAAGGGAAGCAGAGCAAAAACTGCTTCAGCATGTGCTCTTAAAGAATTGTTAAACCTTAAGATTTTGAATTCATACTGCCATATCCAGGATGAATTCATTCAATCTCATTTGCTGGAATCATGTTTCTTCTGGATGAAAATATAGCCAGTGGAACAAATAAGACTTGGATTTCTGTTATGATACTTCAGTGCATCATTGGTTATATATGTGCTTTGAAAACTGATAAAATAATAGTATCAGTCTCTTTTCTACTAACGTGCTGCTTCCTTGCACTAAGACCATCAACTATTTATACTTGGGAACCTTTGAAGAGAGTAGTATCATCATTACTCCTCTTCCATTTTGGTCAAATTTGCCATTAAAGGGAAAATTACAGAGTCTGTGTCACATTTAGACTGTAGGTAAGATTCTCTAAGCTTGTTGGTCTTTACTTCTTTTCCCTAATCAAAACATATGTTTGGTGCTATATGATATTTATATTAGGTGCTCTGAGACACACTTCATATTTTCCACCTTCTATTCTTTATGAATAAATGTCAGTTTCTCAGCATTGTTCTTCTTCGTTTGTCAGAGTTTGTCTGGCAACCAATATAGACGCCTGGTATGGCCTAAGAACAACAATCTTTGCCAGAAAAAAATACATTTGCTTATATTAAAAACTGGCATATCCAGAAGATGCTTCTTTTCATAATTTTAGAAGACACTCTTTTCTCAGTTACTTTGATAAAACTTGCTGCTGAAATAAACAGCATTTCAAGTTGTACTTTAATTTACTTGGAAAACAAAATCTCAGTATTATGTTTACATTCCTGACATTTATGGAATTATTAGGAAATATACAGTCATCTGCTTAAAGAGTCATAAAATATCACTGTTTTAACATTTGCTTATACATAATAGTATACATAATAATCATTTTAAAAATCTTTCAGCATGTTAATATTTTGTACTCTTTTCATTCTTACACTGTAGTTTCAAAAATAACTACTGGAGCATAATTTCAAAAAAAATAGACTGTAAAAAATTGTCCTTAGTTGATATCATATCACAAAACCTGAGCATACAAGAATGAGTGACTTGCCTGCAGAAGCCAGGATTTTCTTCATAGAAGACACCTATCTAGGCAGCTACAGGGCCATTCATTGACATTGCTATCTGATTGTGGGACAATCCAACTTTTATGTCTTTAATCAGAGATAAATCAATGTTTTTTTTTTTCTTGAGTACAAGGATTTTCTTGATAAGTAACTTACAAAGTTTATTTGCAATCTAAGTGGCTTGTGAGTAGTGGCAAATCACTAATGTTAGGCCTGTTATTTGACACACAGGAGAAAACAATTCATGATTCGAGTCCACAGACTGGTATTATCAAAGTTATGTTTTCCTGGATACACTTATTTAATGTTTGTGGTATTATCATTCTTGAATATGTTTTCCAAGTTGGAAGGAACTACTGTCATCTGAGCATTATGTGTCTGATTTACCAATATGAGCTCCATGCAGCATCTTGCATAGGTTTGTTGATGTTCCATTAATTTCAGTGCTAGATAAGCTAAGTCTTTGTTGATAATCTGGGTGATAAGAGAGCTGGAAATAATCTCACCAAGAGGAATTGTGGATATTTTTAAATGAAAACTAGAGAATATTTGGAGTGTCTGTCAGAAGGAACAGTATCTGTGCGAGATAACAGAGTAGAAAGATGAGGTTGAAAGAATAGCAAGGTAAGATGGAAGGAGCAGAGAGAGGCTTCAGAAGTTACCTAGAACCAATGCAAAACATTGGATTTATGATTTCTAGTTTTGTAACAAGGGGCTGCACAGCCAAGTTCTTTGTCTCACCTGCTCCTATAAGATGAGTGCATTACTGTTGAGATGACGGAAACGATGCAACGATGATAAGATCCATTTGCACAATTCAGCATCTCCTGTCCCTAATTACTCTAAGAATTTTAGGACTTATTAGTGATTATAGTAATTTTTAGGTTCTTTAATGGAATTTCTAAGTAGATATCCTAGAAAAATAAGTGAAAACCTTATTAGACTTATTTTCACCCTGTTTAAACCAATTTTTCTACCGACAGCCTCACCCCACTGAACACCATGGATCTTATCTGATCCCAGAAGTTAAGCATGGTTAGGCCTGGATAGTACTTGGATGGGAGACCAACTAGGATTCCTAGGTGTTTGCGTGTAAGACCACCTAAAATTACCAGGTCTGATAGGCTTCAAACTATCTACTGGCTAACTAACGAAAATAAATCAGATATTCTCAAAACTTGATTTGTTTTAAGATGAGAACAAGACTTTCTGAATTATTGTATGTAAGGTGTGACAAAAGGCTGTTGAATAATATGACAGAATAATTGGATGAATTCTGCTCTGAATTTCAACTTGCTGTCATTAAGAGTTTACGTACATTTGTCTGAATGTTAAAGTTTCTTTGATCCTCATGATTAGCTTGAACTTTCTTTTTCATCCATTACTCCTGGCCACTTATTAAGTTGATACATCAAATGCCCTTAAATATAGTTTTAAATTTCCAAAGCCTTTTTCATAGATATGAATCATAAAAAAATTGTAATTTCTTCAAGTGGGTGTGTTTTTTTTTTTTTTTTATTTCAGTTTGGAACGCAGCGCATAGACAACCTCTTCAGTGACCTGCAGGATGGGAAACGCCTCCTAGACCTCCTGGAAGGCCTGACAGGACAAAAACTGGTAGGAACCAACCTTCCTTCCTTCCTTCCTTCCTTCCTTCCTTCCTTCCTTCCTCCCTCCCTCCTTCCCTCCCTCTCTCCCTTCATTCTCTTTCTCTCTCACTCTCTTCCCTCGCTCCTTCTTGCTCTCTCTTTTCTTTCTCATGTGTATGTATGTGGGAGTGGATGCATGTTTTCATGTGGACATACAGACATGTGTGTGCGTGTGTGTGTGTGTGTGTGTGTGTGTGTGTGTGTGTGTGTGTGAAGGCAAAAGGTTGACTTAAGATATCTGGCTCAGTTTCTCTCTGAGGCAAAGTCTCTCACTTGTACCTAGACTTCATCAATTCAGCTGGTCTATTTAGTCAGCTTTCTTCTGTGGTCCCTGTCTCTGCCTCCTGAGCCCTGGGATCACAGATAGGTTACCATACCTATTTGGCAACTATGTGTGTGCTAGTGATCCATACTCTGGCCCTCAAACTTGTACATTGAAAAATCTCCCCAGTCCAGGAAATTTATTGTGAAATTTACAGTAACCTCAATGAAGTGTCAGACCCAAAGAACTGGTTTTATTTCAGTTATCTAATGAAATTCACCAATGTATTAGATAAACAAGACAGTCTTATTACTGAACTAAATCATATTATAAATTTCTTTTTGGCATTGTCTATCTTATACAGAATAATATAGTAAAAAATTTCAGCAATACATTCTGTTAATAAGAATATGTGCCTTTACTTTTTAAAAATGCTTCTTAAGGACTAATTGTATAAAATTTTATGCATCATGACTTTAAACTTATCTTTGTGCTGTTTTATATTTTGCACATATCTTAAATGTACCTGTATTTTATAAATAAAATTACTTTTAGTACAGCATAATGAAATGTTAGTATTTAGTCTGATATCCAAAAGCAAATGAGATGAAAATGTAATTTCCTTTTGAGAACTTTACCTTGTAAAACTTTAGAACATTCCTATGAAGGACATAACATGGTAATACCTTGTTATAGGTCACTAAAGTCATGGAAGAGTCTGAGTTCAGTTGATGAAAGTCTCATAATGGAGAAAAACTCTTAAATCATAATCTCTTGACTTAGAAATCTTATTTTTAGATGTCTATTATTCTGGTAAGCAGGGCTTAGGACGCCATTCTACCTACAGTCATCCACTCTGCATGTCTAATAAGCCCTATTCAATTACTGCTTTAATCTTATCTCTTTTCCCTTTACCATAGCTCTCTAACACGAGCATTTAAGCATGTGCCTGCACATGAGCACGACCCCACACACAAGCCAAGGCTTTGTATGTACAATAGAAACTCTAGCTGTCTATCAAAGTGAGATCTGGCCAAAATCCTATCTCTGAGTTGCCTCCTGCAATTCTCTCACACCAAGCCAAGTTGGTCCCTGTTCGCTCAGTCATTGCCCAGAATTTTGCTTTGTTGTCTTGTTTACCTATTTTGCTTTGTGTGCGTCTTTGTGTTCTGACAGTCCTTGAAAAACATTGGCTTCTGCTTGCTATTGAAGGCTTTTAGAACAAACTTCTAAAATTAATTTCTCCCTCTTAAATTCCATAGAAGTCATTTTTTTGCTTTTAATTACTTAAAATAATATTTTGGTACGTATATGTAAGCATGGCTATGAAAATGATTTTCAAATATTGTAGCTATGCTAAAAAGCCATACTTTGTGCATTCATTTTTTAATTAACTTCAATCATTATATAGGATTGATATGTTACTCTATTAACTCAAAGTGATACATTTTTCTGGTTTACTGTTTTATTTTTGAGATTATAATATAATTACATTTCACCCTTTTCTTTTCTCCTTCTGATTCACTCATATATTCCTCTCTACTCTCCTTCAAGTGCATCACCTCTTATTTCATTAGTTGATTTTGCATGTATATACATAAGTACATATATGTTCCTTAAAATAATTTGTTTAGTCTGTATAATATTATGTATATGCATGTTACTTGTATGCATATTTCATATATGTTTATGAACTTTTAACTTGGGTTGATGACTTCCTAAAATAAAATATTCAAATTCTTTACATTGAAACTTTTGTCAAATAGCCAGTTGGAAGGTGCAATGTAGGCTTAGTCTTAATTTCACTATATGCACATATGATATTTAAGTGTATATGCAGAACATGTGCATTTTTATAATGGTGATAAAGAAATTAGTGCCTGTGAGCATCCAGCTACTCTTGGTAATTATGGGTCAGTTCTGTTCATAAATAAATAAATAAATCTCACTGTCTTTCATAAACTGTTCTCATTCTCTGCACACTTATGATGACATTTTGCTGCTTTTCTGTAAAAACATGTTTCTGTACCTTTGTTTTCTTAATGTTTGTGGTGGTAGGTAGAAAAATACTAAAATATATGCTGATATCACTTGGACATTCATGGGGTAAAATTTTCTAAGATATGAAAAGTGGAGATTTCTGTTAATGAGGCTATGCTTGGAGATAGAGGAAGTGAGGGAACAAGACATTTATGTCTTTTACAAAGGATACTAGTCAAGTCATCTTGGCGAATAGAAGACTTAGGATAAACGTTGGAAGCTTATCCAGCCAGTTTAAAGAATAAGGTTCACTAGGGTATGGAAGTCTTAAGAAGGTTGGGAATACTCTTGGAAAGTACACAGTAAAATTAAAAGTACATTATTTATTCTATACATACACAAAGTAAATAAAAGGTAAGATAAGTAATAAGAAAATTCTGACTGCATAGGCCCAGCCCAAATGTTAAAGCCTTGCTCCACTGATAATTTCTGTAAATACACATTAATTCTTTTAAGCTTAGAATAATTACATATGCAAGTTGTATGGAACCACTGGCATTGCAAGTTGCTTAATAATAATGTGAAGTACCTTGCATGTACTACCAACTCCATACAGCAAACATCTTAAAATACTTTATCAAAGCTCCCCATCTAACGTCTTTACACACATTCCTATTTAAAGTTGTAGAACAGCTATTTTATTTTTTGAGAGGAAACCAAGTTTTATTCAACACTTTTTCATTCTTTTTCATTTTTCTTTTTTTTAAATATAATTTTTTATTGAAAAAAAATTTTCCGCCTCCTCCCCGCCTCCCATTTCCCTCCCCGTCTCCCTTTTCCCCCCTCCTCCCTCTCCTCTCCCCATCCCCCCACTCCTCTCCCCCTCCCTCTCCAGTCTGAGGGGCAGTCAGGGTTCCCTGCCCTGTGGAAAGTCCAAAGTCCTCCCCGCTCCATCCTGGTCTAGGAAGGTGGACATCCAAACTGGCTAGGCTCCCACAAAGCCAGAACATGAANTTCAGAGAGTCCGGTTTTATCCCATGCTTTTTCAGTCGCAGTCCAGCTGGCCTTGGTGAGCTCACAATAGATCAGCCCCACTGTCTCCGTGGGTGGGTGCACCCCTCGTGGTCCTGACTTCTTTGCTCATATTTTCCCTCCTTCTGCTCCTCCTTGGGACATTGGGAGCTCAGTCCGGTGCTCCAGTGTGGGTCTCTGTCTCTATCTCCATCCATCTCCAGATGAAGGTTCTATGGTGATATGCAAGATATTCATCATCAGTATGGCTGTGATGTACTCACTCATAATTGGTTTCTAGAGATAAATAAAGGTCAGTGAGTCTAATTTGATCTCCTAAAGAAGCTAAATAAGAAGGTGATCCCAAAGAAACATATAGCTATCCTCCTGATTATGGGAAGTAGACAAGATTGCCGGGCAAAAAATGGGATCTTGGGGGTGGGGTGGGAGGGAGGTAAGGGGAGATGGGGAGAGAAAAGTGAGAAGGGGAGTTTGGGGGGAACTTGGGAAACGGGATGTTTGGGATAAAGGAAGGTTGGATAGGGGAGCAGGGAAGCACACATCTTAATTAAGGGAGCCATCTTAGGGTTGGCAAGAGATTTGGTGCTCCCAGGTGCCCAGGGCGATGTCCCCAGTTAGTTCCTGGGGCAGCTGAGGACAGAGAACCTAGAACAGCTATTTTTATTAGCTCTGTTTTAACAGGTGAGACAACCGGAGTATGGGAAGAAGTTTCTCATGCTCACATAGTCCAAAAGTGCAAGAGCAAAAGTTGAAACCAGGTTTTGGAAATCATGACTTTTACTAAACAATAGCCTCCCTAAGCTTAAAATGAGAGCTATATAAATCACTGGTTTCAGTAGCTGACTTGTTCTGACATTGTCTTTGAAGATATCAAGGAAAAGTTGTTAGTAGGAAATGACTTTCTGATATACTCCTGGAGATAGCTAATGAAAACTTGCATTAAGGGAAATCCATCAAAAATAATAATTGTTAATAAACACAAGCATCCTAACAATCGAATTTCTAAAACTTATCAGTTAGAAAAAATAAGGTGTTGTGTATTTTCATTAATTATGCAGATGCTATTTTAAAATTAAAAGATGGGATATAACTTTTGGGATAAACTAATTATAAACTAAGAAGCCTGGTTATTGAAATTTTGAATTCTAATGAGTAGGACCACTAGGTAGTAGTCAAAGAAATACTCTTCTTATTTTACATTACATATTTTGGTGATAATTTATTATTTGGGAATTTTATGCATTGTATTTTGAAAATATGCATCTCTCCGCCCAACTCTGGCCATTAGCACCCTATCCATCCTCCTACACATTCCCAACAGACATTGAAAATAATTCTTTTTTACATATTTTGGGGGGATGGGGTTTGAGACAGGATTTCTCTGTAGCCTTGAAGCCTGTCCTGGAACTAGCGCTTGTAGACTAGGCTGGCCTCAAACTCACAGGAATCAACCTGTCTCTGTCTCCCCAGTGCTGGGATTAAAGGTGTGCCCCACCTCTGCCTGTTTTTTTTTTTTTAACATTTCTTATTTCGCCATTGAGCCCAATTTCTGTTGCCAAGCCCATATTGGTAATGGGACCTGCCCTAGTGTGCATCCAGTCTACCAAGAATCACATCATTAATGGAAACTGACTCTTCTTCTCCCTGTTTCTATCAGACAGCAATAACTCTGCAGATGGTTTTGGGGTTTTATACCCACCACCTTCCTACTCTATATTGAGATCTTGTCTTGAACAGATCTTCTTGTCCCAATCACATGTTTGTTTCAATGTGCATCCAACATGCTATGTCGGGAAAACATGTTTTTTTTTTTTTTCATCAAAAACCTCTGGCTCTTATGACTAAGAATATCCCTGGGGGCCGGGCGATGGTGGCACATGCCTTTAATCCCAGCACTCGGGAGGCAGAGGCAGGCAGATCTCTGTGAGTTCGAGACCAGCCTGGTCTACAGAGCTAGTTCCAGGACAGGCTCCAAAGCCACAGAGAAACCCTGTCTCGAAAAACCAAAAAAAAAAAAAAAAGAAGAAGAAGATCCCTAGGACTTGGAGTAAGGGATGTAATAAGTATGTCCCATTCAGTGGTAAACGTTTCAGAGACTCTCATTTTCTGAATGCTGACTGAACATTTTGTGTGGAATAATTTGTATTTGACAATTCTGTACCTTATTATGATTTGTTTTACAATTTCAAACAACGTATTTTTGATCAGACTCACCTCCATTTTCATCTCCTATGTCCCTCCCTCTATTATTCAACCTGTTATTCTTTTCTATTACCCCCATTTCTTTTATGACCAACTGAGTTATATAAGGGTCGCTTGTTTGAGCTTGTATAGGTGGGCTAGTTAGTGAGTGGAGTGTGGGCAGTCCACAAAACTCACATCTCCTTCAAACTCTTCTAAAACTTACTTTTCTATCTCACTGCTTACTTTCTTTATAGATTTTGTTAATGTTTTCCATCCTTGATGGTATTATAACAATATACACTGAGCTAAAAAAAAAGTGAAGGCACAATCATTCCAAATTGTACTGTAAAGGGAAAAAATGTGCTTTCTTTCCCAGGAGGTGGATTCTTTATGCTAAAGATGTGCTATGCCAAGGACAAATCCCAAAGCCTGAAGACTTTTTTTTTTAAATATATGCTTCACAGTATGTGTTCATTTAAATGTAAAATATTCAAGCTTAAAAGTGGAATTTATATTGGTCTTTTCAGGTAGATTTTTTTTGTCTCTGTTCCCTAGTAAACACCATTTCTCTCTCTCTTTCTTTTTTTTTTAGCCAAAAGAAAAAGGATCTACAAGAGTTCATGCTCTGAACAATGTCAACAAAGCACTGCAGGTCTTACAGAAAAATAATGTAAGTGGTGACCTGAACAGGGTCTGAACACCAGGAAACAGCATGTTTAATGTTTGAGAAAGGGCTTTGGCCCAAATGTAGAGAAGGCTTCTTAAGCTCTCTTGTAAATCGCAGAGGCTCTTATTCAGAGCCCATGTGCTAGTTCCTTTGTATGTGCTTGCAGCTAATGTAATTCTGGAAGCCAATGGACACAATCATAGAGGCCAGAGAAAGGTGAAACCTGTGCCTGCTATGACTTTCATGTTGTTTCTATATGTTACTTGATGTAGCTGTCTTAATAGACAGACTGAGTCCTTCATGTAGCAGTATTCTGTAAAACAAAGAGACATGGATTCCTGAAGAGTATGCCATGTTTTCAGTTCTAATGCGAACATACTTAGTGCGAATCAAGCTAATTCTTGTGTCACTAAACACACATCGAAAATAAAAGTTTAACAAAGCAACAACTACTATGAAGGGGAAGAATTGTTTGGTTTAGTATACTTGGATGAAAATATATATGATGTACTAGAAAAAAGTAAACAATCCTAACTAAATGAGTGATCAGGAGAGAGGAGAACTAGTCTCCTCTGAGAAAGACTGAACTAAAGTTTACATCTCGACCTTGCAGGGAGATAGTTTTCCTTTCATAGTAACTTCTACAAACTTTCTAATAGACCAATATGTCTATAAGGCACTTTGGGTATATTTCTGACTATATCCAACACTCTTTAAAATGTAATTTCAAAAGCATTTGCCATATATTCTTAAAATAACTGCAATACATAATAGATTTTTAATATTTTACATTCTTGCATGTGTTTCTCAACTCGTCTAGTCATAGTAGGCTAACATAAAGGATGTAACATTGGAAACTATAAAGTAACAGGTTGAATTTATGAATGTAGGGTCATTGTCACGTTTAACATATGAAAGTTATTTTAATGAAACTTTACAAACATGATTGCTTTCCAGCTTTACATTTTCAGTTTTTCTGATATTAGACTAAAATGACCTAATGAAAACAACAATTTTTCTAGCATATTAGGTAAAAAGAGAAGTTCTTTCAAAAGTAAATACTGGAATGAATATAGATAAAATCTATTGAAAGAGTATCTAAAAAACTGCTGTTTTGCTGAAGAGAATTCAAACAAATAACAAGGACACAGTATTATAGAAATCTTCTAAGTCTATAAATAAATCTTAATCATAATAGATTTTATTTAAAGTAATAGAATAATCATTTTAATAGTAACATATTTAATGTTAAAATGAAGTATAAGAATAATATAAATACTTTGTATATTTAGAATAGTTATTTCATTTCTCCTCATACTCCAAAGCATAGTAGACAGATATATAAAATAGCATTCACTTTGTATAAATTCTCCTTATAAAGTTGAGTATAAAAACACAACAATTTAATAATTTTGTTTAATTATTCCAAGTTCAGATCTGTGCTGTCCTCCAGGCATTAAGAAAGTTCTATCTTTGCCATTATCAGTAATGTTATTCTTTAATGCTCTAGAATGTCCAGAGACCAATAGATATCTCTGGTGCTATTTATAATTAGAAAAACAATTAAGAAAACCTTTAATCTATAGTCTGTTGTGAGAACCACTAGCATAATGATCATAAAAGTCTAAGTTATCTTGAGAAGCCAAATGTAGTAATTACTGTCCTGAAACAGAAGACACATTCTGTACTGACTGGGTATTTTTGTGTGTGTCAACTTGAAACAAGCTAGAATCACAGAGAGGAAGGAGTCTTTGCTGAGGAAATGCCTCCTTCTGTAAAATCCAGCTGTAAGGCATTTTCTCATTTAATGATCAATGAATGGGGGAGCACCCAGCATACTGTGGGCGGGGCTATTTCTGAGCTGGTGGTTCTGGGTCATATAAGAGGCAGGCTGAACAAGCCATGGGAAGCAAGCCAGTAAGCAGCTTCCCATCATGTCCTCTACATCAGCTCCTGCCTTCCAGGATCCTGCTCTGAGTTCCTGTCCTGACTTCCTTCAGTGATGAACAGCAATTCTGAAGTGTAAGCCTAGTAAACTCTTCCCACCCAATATTAATTCAGATGCAGGTTTACAGTTTCAGAGGTTTAGTCTATTACCATCATAGAAGGGAGCATCATGTCTGGGAATATGGTGGAATGAAGGCAGACCAGATGTGGTGCTGGGGATTTCTACATCATGAACTAAAAGGCAACAGGAAGTGAACTGTCTCCTTGGGTGTGGCTTGACTATGTATAAGACTTCAAAGCCTGTGTTCTGAATGACACACTTCCCCCACCAAGGCTACATCCTCTCCACAAAAGCACACCTTTTAATAGTGCCCCTCTCTTTGGGAGACATTTTCTTTCAAAACAACACTGCAGCCATTATATTGCCTGTAGCTTCTGATCCTGCATTGACATGGGCATGTCAACTGATGGCGTCATTTTCAGGTCTTATTTACAAAGCATAACCTGGCCTTACCACAGATACTAGTACTGAAGGAGGTGTGGCCAGAGTGAAAGAGATCTGAAGATGAGAATAGACATACAAGTGTTTTGAAGGAGGAAACGGGAAGAAAGGAGAAAACTTTAAGTGGTATTGAGGAGGGGAAGCAGCTCATTCCTGTTCTTTTATCCCCACTTGAATTCTGCTCAGATCTTGTCTTCATAGAACATGCACACCACTTTATGGTCTGATTTTATTTTTATGTGGCAGTGGTTTTAGCATGGCATTATCTCTGCTATCACTAGTTTAGCTTAGAAAAACCATGTATCGAGAAGAAATCACTTCTAAGTCCAGTGATACCATCATTACAAGATGTGCTGAGAGCAAAGATAAATTGTTTTTTTTCTTTCTTTCTTTATTGATTTTTATTGAGCTTTACATTTTTCTCTGCTCCCATGCCTGCCTATTTTTTTTGTAATAAAGTTGGCTGGCTATGGTACTGAGAAACAAAGAAAGGATAGTACAAATTCCAAATTCCCTCGGAATAGGGTGACACTATGAAATGCCTTTGTTTGCTATCTCACCCGTTCTAGATTTTTCAAAATTATCTAGAGCCTCTATCGGTTTGTGGCTTTTTAAGGGGTAGAGAACAAATTTCCAATGAGAGGGAACATTTTTCTCGTATCAATTCTAACACTTCAAAACTTTTTTTTGTTGTGTGTGTGTGTGTGTGTGTGTGTGTGTGTGTGAGCACTCTGTTATAGGAGAACTTAGAAGGCAGTTCTATAGTATTTTTCGGCCCTTTTCTCTCAAATAAGATTATTTAATGTGTAGTTTAAATTTTCTGGGGTTGGAAGATGCCTAAATGTGTAAAAGGCTTGTGCCACCTAAATGAGCAGCTGAGTTTGGATTGTCAGTGTGCACATAAATGCCAGCCATGCAGGTAGAAGCCTCTAATGCTGGCACTGTGGAGAAAACCACAACTGTTGTGCTACAGCTATACCATGTCCTATAGACTGTGCTCCTCCCTAACATTTAAATCTTACACTCTTTCAACACCTTCTTCAATATATTCTATGAGCCTTGGACAGGTTGATATTTAGGGCTACAATCAAAATCAATTACTCTTAGCACTTTGTCAGTTGTGAATCTCTTGCATTAACTGCCACTAACTGCAAACAAGAGAAGCTTCTCTGAGAAATGCTGAGAGGAGAACCAGGCTTTCAGCACAAGCTTAAATATTTACAAGGCAGTTTGATAACATGACCATTTGGCAGAACAAAAGTTGGTTTTATGGCCTTCCTGGCCAGGGCATGTGACCGGGTCCAATAATACCAAGGATGACTTCCCTTCTTCAAAGGGGGTGTCTGATAAATAGGACTCCTGCCACCTTTCAACAAGTGGCTATGGCTAGTCTGGGAACTGGATTTATAGCATGGAGAGTGCACAGCCGCAAGGATCATTGGTAGCTTTTCTCCCCCAGCTGCCTGCATAGCATCTTCGGGCACTGTGGAAATGAGCCAGCAGGGAGGAAGTTTCCATCTCAGCTCCAGCGTGATATCTGTATGTTCAACGATAAAAGTGTGTTGTGTCTTTAGAAACAGGCTCTTACCATAAAACGCTGCTGGGCATCCAATGTAACTAGCTATATCTTGTAGTTCGTGGGGGCCTAATGGGAATTGCTTCACAAACAGCACACAGAGAAATGTCCTACACCTGACACTGACGTTTTAACTTAATAATCCTTAGCTTCTGGAATCTGCATTTTTCCATCCATACAAAATCCCTCCTTTCATGCTTTTTAAAGTTAATTTTAGTCATGTTATAAAGTAATATGTTTTGATGTCACTTCTTTATAAACCATAATTTGAACATTTTCTTCAGGCCACCAACCAACTGTGCTCTGTCATCTCCCTGGCATTTCCAAATTTTATAGTTAAGATTTTTTTAGAAAGGTATTATTTCTATTACTACATTTTCTTTTTTTATATGCACACTGAGGGTTTTGTTCAGCTGTTCAGAGGAATGAATATATTTCATATTCATGGAAATGAGTGGAATTGGAAATTATTATACTAAGCAAATAAGTGAGAAACAAACATTACAAGTTTTCTGTCATACACACAATGCCTCTATCTATCTATCTATCTATCTATCTATCTATCTATCTATCTATCATCTATCTATCATCTATCTATCTATCTATCTATCTATCTATCATCTATCTATCCATCTATCTACCTACCTACCTGTTGATCTCTCTGTGTATACAATCATCGGTCTTTATATTATCTGTACATATGAAAACATAAGTGATATTATTAGGGGAAATTATATATAAAATGGAGGAAGGGAGCCAGGAGGTGGTGGCACATGCCTACTATTCCAGCATTCAGGACAGAGGCAGTTGGATCTCTGAGTTCCATTCTCATCTACAGAGCAAGTTCCAGGATAGTCAGGGACACACAGAGAAATCCTAGAGGAAGGGGGTGACAAGAAAGGATGATAAAAAAAAATAAAATAAAATAAAAAAGAAAGGATGATAAGAAGAACAGCAGCAGCAGCAACAACAACAACA